AGCAGGAAGGCCAGCTCAGTTCAGGGTGAAGATGAGGCTCAGGGTACTGACGCAGCGGCAGTACCATCTAGAAGTCCTGATGGTAAATGGCATGTTTTAAGAATATGTACAAGGATCCAAAAAGCTAAATACTAATTAACAGCTTAGATGCAGTAAAATGAGTATCCACTATGCAATATGCAATTAATAATTAATATTGTTTGATTAACACTATGCTTTGGTTTATATCCCCTCATTAGATCAGAATTCACTACAGCAGTTCATCTGTACTATAGAGACCCACAATCATCAGGAACCTTCAGGCAGTGACCCTGAAGTCTCTCCTGCAGCAGAGGAACATCTTGCTGTTCATCCTGATGCAGATGTCCTCCAACCACCAGTATGGAGCGACAATGTCGCTCAGACTTCAGTCGATACCGCATCAGACTGGAGCGCTGACATTGCCCAGGCTCCAGTCCTTCGTACTGCATCTGACTGGAGCATCAATGCCGGCCTGACTCCAGTCTTTACCACATCGAACTGGAGTGGTGATTTTGCCCAGACGCCATCTGACTGGAACATTTATGCTGGCCTGACTTCAGCATGCACCATGTCAGACTGGAGCACTGACGTCACACAGACTTCAGCACCCACAGCATCAGACTGGAGCGCTGACATCACCCATACTCCAGACCGCACCGCTTCTGACTGGAGTGCCGATATCGCTCAGACTCCAGTCCGGCGCACCCCTTCCAACTGGAGCAAGGACATTGCCCAGACTCCAGTCTGCACCACATCAAACTGGAGCGTCAATGTCATCCAAACTTCAGTTAGTTCCACAGAGGTCTCTGTGTCACCTCTGACAAGGCAGCTGGAAAAAAATGGAAAGATAAAAATTGAGGGTAAGTTTACTGCCGCAATAACACAACACGCACACACTCTTGATACATTTTATTGTCACTTGTTTATTAATTAAACAAGAATTGGACAACACTGCAGTCAATACTTGATATTTCAACTAACCCTGTTTTTCCTTTAATAGTCATCAATTCCTGCCACTATGTGATCGGCGATTTGCTGGGTGAAGGGACCTTTGGAGCCGTGTATGAGGGGAGTCGTCGGCAGGATGGTTTTAAGGTTTAATTTTTTGCTTACAATATCTAGCTAGCAGATTAATCATCTGAATTGGATTAATTTGATCTCTGCATTTATATTAATTGTAAATATTTTTTTAACAATCTGTTTGTTGTTTTATTTATTAGGTAGCAGTGAAATATGTCGCAAAGACGGAGAATGTGGAATACATCAGTATCGTAAGTAGGCTGTGTTCTCTACTTTCTCCTCTGTCTATTCAATTTACTGTAAAACATCTCATATTACTATAGCTGATTTTTCAATAGATAAGTTGCCATTGTGATCATTTTGTGAAATACTGGTCTGAATCCTAATTTGGGAATCCACATCCATCTAACCATCATAAAAATTGTATTTCCTCTAGCCGGGTCATTCCAAGCCCCTTCCACTAGAGGTTGCACTGCACATCCTCGCCAACAGAGGCCCCAGCATTCCAGAAATAATCCAACTGCTGGACTGGCAGGACCAGCATAACCATTATGTTATGGTGATGGAGCGCCCCTCACCCTGCGAGGACCTGTTTGAATTTGCAGAACGCCACGGAGGCAGCATCGATGAAGGCTTAGCTTGTGTCGTCATGCGGCAGGCAACACAGGCTGCCTACATGTGCTGCCGCCGTGGGGTTCTACACGGTGATATCAAACTTGAAAATCTGCTCATTAATAAGGAGACCCATGAAGTCAAGCTAATTGATTTTGGGTGTGGCGACCTCCTTAAGAAATCGGCCTACAAGATATTCACTGGTGTGTATTATCCCTCAAGCCATAAAATTGGAACCATTGTTGTGAATCATATACCTGTAGCACCAAATGCTAATGGATGCTTAGAAAAATGCTTTGATATTGCAAACTTACAGATGTTTCAAAATCACTTTCCTCCAGGCACTGATCAGTACTGCCCCCCGGAGTTTAAGGAGAAGGGTGAGTACAATGGGAAGCCAGCAACAGTCTGGTCCCTTGGTGTTCTCTTGTTCGCATTGGTGTGCGGGGATTTTCCCAACGTTGATGACTTGAACAAGATCAATGCAAACAACTTCTCCAAAGCTGGCTTGTCAGAAGGTGAGTTTTTCATGAAGCAAATTGTATAAAGATGTTTTAGAATAACATGATCTGAAAGAAAGTGTGAAGTTCAAAGTAATAATCAGACATTTTTTACATTGTTCTTCATAGAATGCTGCCAGTTGATTAGTTCTTGTATCCAGCAAGAGCCAGAGCAGCGGCTTCGATTAAGCAAGATTCTTCTCCACGACTGGTTCAAGGTACTAAGCCTAAGATCAACTAAATCATACTTGCTTTTTGAAAAGTTTGAAAGTCTTTTTTTTTGTTTTCTTATAACTGTAAGACTACAGACATTAGCTTCAGGTAACATTCTTCTGATTCACTTCTGAAAATGTGATTACTGTTTTGTTTTAGGTCACAGATGTGGAGAACCTAAAAACAGTGTAAAAAAAAGGACAGGAACCCCTGTAGTGGCTCTGCAGTTGTGGCTTCGGACCCAAGATCCCTATCATGGCCCCAGAGGTTCTTGTCAAATCAACAAGCAAGGCGACTTCACCCCAGAGCTCCCTGTCCTAGCCCCCAACATGTTCCTCTCTATGTTGTCTCAGAGGTTGAGCCTCCTCAGAGCTAGTGCCTGTCTCCCTCCACATCCCAAGATGTTCCAATCTGTTTGGCCCTAGTCATAGCTGGTTCCCATGGCTGCCCTCTTCCAAGGGCATACGTTTGCCCTAAAGATTTCTGCCCCAGAGCCAGTGGCGGAGATCACACCACTTCCAAAGTTGGTGCCCTGGTACCACAGCTCCCTATCTTGGGCTTCCTGGGTCCGAGTGGTTTGTGTCAGTGTGTCAGGTTTGTAGTCTTTAGTGAAATCATTAAAATTTATGTGAAAGTAACTTTCTTTGCTCCCTTATATGGCTAGCCTAGAGGGAACTGTAATGGCCCCAGCCAAAGTCAGCACCCAAAGCCGGCTCCTTGTCTTGTTTCTCCTATGTCTTTAGTTCCTGTGAGAGCAACCCAAGATTTCTTGTTACAGCCACCTCAGGTGTTTATGGACAGCTTGGTCCTCAAGGTCCCGCACCTGCCCCTGTTTGTGTAATGGTCTTAGTCAAAGCCAGTATCCATTAATGGCTTAGCTCTAGAGCTCCCTTTCTTAGACTGTCCAGTTTTCAAAGCTCCCTGCCGGTGATGTTCCTGTCACTACTCCACCATAGGTTCTTGTTATGAACCTAGCCAAAGCCATTCCCATGGTCTCCTTGGTTCCAGAGCTGCCTGTTTCTAGTTGTCTCAGGCTGCTCTAGTCCAAGTGTTCCATTCCACTCAGATACTAGTGTTAGGACTGCCTCAGATCTCCCTGTTGCTGCCTGTGGAGCCTCTCATTCGAGTTCCAAATATCCCTATCTCAGGCCACCACATTCACAGTTCCATAGGTCACTGTCACTGCCCATAGGTTCCTGTCATGGACCCTAACAGAGCCCAAGGCTTTCCCTGTCCTGTCACTGCCATCTTCATAGTCAGCAGTCAAAGATACCCTGTCTTCAGCTGCCCTAGTCCTGCCCCGATCTCCATTCAAAGTAAACAATAAACGTCATAATATGCATGAATTAAACTGCCCTTGTTCATAGTGACAATATTATTCATAATCTGCTGAAGAATTAAGTAAGTAAGTATTAAAAGTAAGTAAGTAAGTATTGGTTTATAGCGGTAAGTACTAGTATACAGTATAATACTTGTCCACTGGTTTATAATCCATGTTCACTGTCATTGAACTTCAAGTACTGCATCACATAAACTTACCACACTTTTCTCATGCCATTCTTTCCATACAATTAAACAATTCAAATGAGGCTGTTTGTTGACAATATACACATGTGGAAAAGTCACCAAAACAGGGTGAGGCTTTTTTTTTTTTTTTTTTTTTTTTTTTTTTTTTTTGATGTTAAAAAAAAAAAAAAGTCAAGGGGAATGGCTGAGGGAAATTTTTTTTTTTTTTTTTTTTTTTTTTTTTTTTGTAGTAGTGTTTAGTAACATCTGGTGGACAAAAGACAGAATTACAAACCTGCCCATTAGGTCCCTAAAAAAACAGACAAATTTCATAAAAAATATAGACAGTGAAAACATGTTCATTATAGAAGATTCACTGTCTGTATAAATAGCATTGTTAATGTACTTTTGAGTGAATGTATAGATTGGGATACATACTAGTTGCTGAAATTTTCATTTTTTGCATTAAACTTTTTTGCAGCTCACCTAACTAGTTATATATGGTGTGACAAATCATTTGTAATTTAAGGTCATGACAACTATGTACAGTATATATATATATTTTTAAAATTAAGTATTTTAGATGGAGTATATATTTCAACAAAATACACAGCACTGTAAGCCACATTTAGTATTCATTTCAACAGGCATTCCTTCTGAAAGCGGTTTTATTGGTTGTCATTAAACTGTCTGACACTTAAATGATCCTCAAACAACATTTAACATAACACATCAGCAGTAAAAATAATCTGGGAAATAAAATGTGTTTCATAATCCATAAAATAGATTATTAACACAATTGAAACAGATGCAATGCAGTCTGAGTACTGTACATATATGTTAACCATTACTTCTGTAGTTACTGTCCACAAATAAGTTCAAGCTAGAGTTCAGAACATAACAGTTAAGTGCTGAGGTATAAGATTCTGTCTTCATCCACTTTGAACTCAAAAGTAACACTCAGTTAAAGTAGTCAATTAAAAGACCTTGACATAATACTTATATAAACGGGGAACAGATACAGTCCACGGTCTTGTTAAAACTCACTAATTTTTCACTTGAAAGATTAATCAGTCGGTCAAAAGCACAAATAATAAAAGAGCTATTCCCCTTACATGCTGTTAAAAGCAGCTTTTGTCTGTTAGAAGAGATTTGTAGTTTGTGTGCTAAGTACCAATTTTCAAAATTACTAAGTAATCTTGGAAAAAAAAAAGAAGACATTTACTGGCGTTTTATTAAAAACTGGTTTCTGTTTATGTGAGAAGATTTACAAAAAATGTGTTTACTTAGCTAATAATCCATGAAAACATGTTGTGTCAGCTATGTTCAGTTATGTACTTGTTGTAATAGTGTGCATTTTAAGTCACTTATTAACTTCCAGGAAATCTTGGCTCGCCGAAGTTTATTATGATGGTGTTTCTTTTGACTGTCAACAGGAGCCGCTGTTTCCTGGTTATGTTCACCTGAGTACTACGCTGCTGCCAAACCCTTTCTTTCTTCCGAAGAGATCACGGCGACAGCTTTTTTCAATGTACTGAGCTGGATGCAGTGCGTTTTGTGTAAGTGAATCTTAACACACGGCACAGCGCAGGGATTGAGACACGTTCACTAGAGAGATTTGTGTTGCTTATGTGTTTGTACGTGGTTTCCTCTTGACTTTCCTGGCATACAGGAAGTACATGGTGTGTCCCGTGAAAATGAACAGGATGGAGATGATGACAAGGATGCCGAAGTGTTGTGGCTGGGGTGCAGAGATGACCATGATGAAGTGCAGCAGGTCCATCAGGTAGTTCATGGAGCTGTGGACTCCATTCACCACCCCACGCTCTGATTCACATATGGTCTCCTGCAAGAGCTGAGTCACTGTCAGGTCAAAGGACCAGAGACCTGGAAAACAACAACACCATATATGTGACCCTGGAGCACAAAACCAGTCTTAAGTCGCTGGGGTATATTTGTAGCAATAGCCAAAAAAACATTGTATGGGTCAAAATTATTGATTTTTCTTTTATGCCAAAAATCATTAGGATATTAAATAAAGATCATGTTCCATGAAGATATTTTGTACATTTCCTACCGAAACTATATAAAAACTTAATTTTTGATTAGTAATATGCATTGCTAAGAACTTCATTTGGACAACTTTAAACGCGATTTTCTCAGTATTTAGATTTTTTTTGCACCCTCAGATTCCAGATTTTCAAATAGTTGTATCTCGGCCAAATATTATCTGATCCTAACAAACCACACATCAATGGAAAGCTTATTTATTCAGCTTTCAGACGATGTATCTCAATTTAAAAAAATTGACCCTTATGACTGGTTTTGTGGTCCAGGGTCACATAACACCACAACATATATTATTTTAGGTTACATGTCATGGTGATATAACGTGTAATATAATCAGTTAGCGAACGATTCTTACTAATACCACATGACATTTTAGAACCAGAAATAATCTTCACTCTCATAAACGCTCTCATACTTTATGAGACTTGTTGTCATCTCTATAATAACATTTCCCTGTTTTATGAGGAAATAAGTCAGAATTGGGAGACATAAATTCAGAATTGTCAGACATTAATTTAGAATTTAAAAAAGGAAAAAGCTAATTTTGAATTTTTATCACACCAGTCAGACTTTTTTTTTCTCGTAAATCCACGTTTATATCTCACAATTTGGACTTTTCTTTTCAGCATTGTGAGTTTGTATCTTGCAATTACAAAAAACTCGCATAAGACTTTTTTTCTCAAAGTGTCTGCGAGTATCTCGCAACTCTGTGTTTATATCTCACATTTTTCAGTATTTTGAGAAAAAAGTCAGAATTTTGAGATCAAAATATACGCTTCCATAAACATGACTTTGTTTTGCAGACAGAAGTTTTGAAAATATTAAGTAAGCAATGAAATAGGAATTAGGAATTTTTCCTAAGAAATAATAAAAGATTTTGCCCATTTTTTTAAAAATAATTAATTATTTGAATGAAAAAGATTACACATTAAATGTATTAAATGTAACAGTAAAAATTTGTTACAAAGATTTATATTTGTATTCTATTTTTATTTCTATTTCTGATTATTTCTATTTTATTCTATTCACCAAAGAATGCTGAAAAAAATGTGTTATAATTTCCACACAAACACACACACACACAAAAAAGCAACATATCTGTTTCCAACATAGATAATAATCAGAAATGTTTCTTAAGGATAAAATCAGCATATTAGAATGATTTCTGAAGGATCATGTGACACTGAAGACTGGAGTATTGATGCTGAAATGCTTTACCATCACAGGAATTAATTACATTTTAAAAATATATTCAAGTTTAAAAAGTACCTTAGTGAGCATAAGATACTTTTTTTTTTTTCAAAATCATACTGACCCCACAAATTGAAACAATGGTGTATACATTTTTATTTGTTAATTTATTTTTATTTTTGTATATTTTAGGACAAAGCAGGCATCTACTCACCAACTCGAGCTGTAATGACTCCAAGGAACAGCAGGATGATGGAGACGTAAGACTCTGGTTCAGTCCCTGCTGGCGCGTTCTCAAACAGCACAGTGTTATTGGTCCAGTGAATGGAGGAACGGTCTGGCAGCAGAGGCTGGTTGCTGCCTCCACGCAGTGGGTATCCGTGCCTCTGGTGACCTCCGGTCATCCCTCCCACATCTGATGCATTCCCCATATTTAGCATGCTGAGGTCCATGGGGCTACCGGGGGCAAACACGGCGCACAAACAAAGCAACAGGCAAACTAGGTGCAGCACGCTGGAAATGACCCCAGTGTTGACCAGGCCACATGCTTTGCGCAGCTTTGTGAAAAGCACAGTACCCAGAAGCCCCGCCACAGCCGACACACCCATCAGAATGCTGAGCAGCGAGCCGCTGATTCCCTGGGTGTAGGCGTAGCCGGTGGTGATGCAGTCAAAGCCCAGCACTGTGGTGTAAAGGAAGGCCAGGCCCAGGCCGGCGAGGAAAACAGGCTGTCTGTAATACGCCCTCCATCCTTCCAAGCAGGTGCTGAGGAGCCCACGCAGCCGATGGAGGCACACTGGTATTCTGCTTATTTCTTGTAAATGCAGGCTGGTGCGTTCCTCTGAGATGGCAGCAGCTGGACATGCTGAGGTCTTGCCTGAACAAACCAAGATGGATTGTGGATTTGGATTATATATCAGTAATTCTATCTATCCATCTATCTGCCTGTCTGTCTGGCTGCACTAGTCAGCATTTGAAGTGGATCAAAACCTTTCATCAAAGTTGTCCTAAAACCAAAATGTGTTCTTGACTTAGGACAACTTTGATGAACTTTTATGATCCACTTCAAATGTTGACTACTATCTATCTATCTATCTATCTATCGAATGGTCTATCTATCTATCTATCTATCTATCTATCTATCGTTCTGTCCTATCTATCTATCTATCTATCTATCGTTCTGTCCTATCATTCTATCTATCTATCTATCTATCGAATGGTCTATCTATATCTATCTATCTATCTATCTATCGAATGGTCTATCTATCTATCTATCTATCTATCCATCTATCTATCGAATGGTCTATCTATCTATCTATCTATCTATCCATCGTTCTGTCCTATCATTCTATCTATCGTTCTATTTATTATTTGTCTATCTATATATCTTTCTATCTATCGAACTGTCTGTCTGTCTGTCTATCTATCGTTCTGTCATTCTATCTATTATTTGTCTATTTATATATCTTTCTATCTATCGAACAGTCTGTCTGTCTGTCTATCGTTCTATCTATCTATCGTTCTGTCGTTCTATCTATCTATCTATCTATCTATCTATCGTTCTGTCGTTCTATCATTCTATCGTTCTATCTATTATTTGTCTATATATCTATCTATCGAACAGTCTGTCTGTCTGTCTGTCTATCTATCTATCGTTCTATCTATTGTTCTATCTATCGTTCTATCTATCGTTCTGTTGTTCTATCTATCATTATATCTGTTGTTTTGCTGTTCTTTATGTCCATAAGGCATACATTTTTCATAACTTTCAAACAGGAGTTTATTAATCCCACATTTAAAGTTTGTCTTTTCCTTTTTTGCTAAAAATTTGTTATATGAATGTCAATTCATTGTTAATTCTTCTTCCTTTCCATTAAAAATTAAACTGCATTTCATTTCAAATTCAGAAACTAAATTGGAATTTTAAAGAAAAAATCAGTTCTGAATAGTGAATAACACATTTCTACAAAGGTATCGGTAAATGAAAACTTCTGTAATATGCTATATCCACACCATCAGGTGTCAGTATGAGGCGATATCTGCAATATCGACTAAAATGCACACCAAACTACTGAGTGCAACTTTAAATATACATTATATTTCATGGGTTTGAATCTTTTATTACCTTGTGAGCGTTTTCTTTCTCTTTTCTTCTCTAAATAGCTTTGATGTTCCATAGCTGGTGGTTTGACGGACAGCGCTGGTACAATCCGGTAGACTCTGGAGAGGAAGATGAACTCTACAATGAGGGACACCAGATTCCATCCTAAGATGAAGCCACAGCCAACCACATTAGAGGCCAGGGTCATTATCTGACCCACCGCCAGTGGAGCCAGGATGTTAGTCACCTGATCGATCCGCCTCATTGTAGCATTCATTCCTGTATCAGGAGGTAATCAACATGCTTAGCAACATGCTAGCATCAAACTCTGCTGAAATCAATTGAGTTTTTTCTCCTGTGTGGAGTGTTTTTGTGCACCATGTGGAATTGCTACCTATGTAGAGAAGATACAGTACATGTTTATTTGCAAGTAAATGCAGTATCTAATGCATTTGATTGGTAAATTTTAAAACACCTATGATTTCCAATTCACAGATTAGCATTATGCTAACAGAAGTAAAGGCCATACCTGCGAGGTGACCACGGTTGTAGCCTGTGATCACCACTATCCAATCTCTCTGGATGGCAATGGTGAGAGCTGTGCTGGCGAGGTTCGCCACATCTGCCAGGACGATCACCACCGTATAACAAACCACCTTGTGTGAGTTGTGTGATGCAATAAGTTACTATGCTATGTCATAACAGCAGGAATGCTTATGTTCAGCAATGACTAGCCAGAGACAGTAGGCACACAGTGCTACTCTGAACACATAATTTCATTCTGAATGGGCATAATAATGACACATTTTTAGGGTACAAACAGTGTAAGAAGGACTTACAGTTAGCCACCCGTCCCAGATTTCCTCAATCCACTTTTTGTACGAGAACACCAGCATGAGCACAATGCTGCAGACGGTCACTGAGATATTCTGAATAAATAGGGATGCGTGGGCCACTGTTCAGATGGATAGAGGAATTATGATACTTAAAATAAACAAAAAAAAAATACTTTCATCAGTTGAAAAAAAATGTTTCTGTCATATTTCTTCTCAAAATAAAATAAAAAAAATATATATTTTTTAGAGCCTGTTTAAGGACCTTTGTTGTTAGTATTGTTATTTATATTTTTTATAATTTATATTTTATATTATAATAATTTAGTTAGTTCATTAGTTGTTTTTTCTTCTATTTTTTCATGACAATTCTCATTAATGCAGTCAGTTTCATTCATTAAATTTTTTGACAATTTAAATAATAATTAAAATGGTGAAATATTTAATCTTGAGAATATGTAAGGTACTTAATTGTCATGTAAATTTATGATGTATTAATGCAAATAATAATAATATTGCAAAATAAATAAGACATGACATCTCTCTCTCTCTCTCTTTTTTGTTTTTTACCCTAAATGCACTACATAATGCATTTTCACCTTTGTTTCTCGGATTGCGGTCAACCCAGTCTCCAATCAAAGCCCCTAATAAGAGCACCGATCCGGCCACCACCAGTCCAAAGATGCCAGTTAACAGCAGGTTATGCCCATACAGCCCAATCAGGAAGACAGAGATGGCGAAGTGCCACATGAGATCACCCTGGCATGCGAAAAGACATGATCAGCTCAAGATATCATACCTGAGATATCATAATTCACATATTTTGTGTGGTCCTCAAAGTATCATGAAAAAAACCTGTAATAGTGTGCCAGAGCTCATGCCCTGTTTACTGAGTGCCAGCATTGCAGATATGAAAACAGCTCCTTACCCACATAGATAACGCTCCGCTCACATAGATGAGGAACTTGGGGCCCTTGAGGTAGATGAGGGCTGATCCTATGAGATAAAGAGTTTTTAAAGATTTATTACTTGTATGCGCATTGGTTGTAGAATAATAGACTGTTTAATGCCAGACGGCAAGAACAAGCAGGCTCTGCAGATTTTTAGCATCTTCTAATATAAAATAGCAGAATGTTTTTCTATTTTAATCACTCTATAATAAGCCTTACCTTAAAATTTAAAAGGATTGTTTACTTTCTAAACTCGTTTTGTTTTTTTGTTTTGTTTTGTTTTGTTTTGTTTTGTTTTGTTTTGTTTTGTTTACTTCCGTGGAGCACAAAAGTAAAAATGATGAAGATTTATGTTGGTCGCTCCATACAGTTATGATAAATGGGGTCTTAGGATTTTAGATTAGTCTCATAAACCATAAACTCAAGAACCAGATCACTCTGATTGTTTTGTTTTGTTTTGTTTTGTTTTGTTTTGTTTACTTCCGTGGAGCACAAAAGTAAAAATGATGAAGATTTATGTTGGTCGCTCCATACAGTTATGATAAATGGGGTCTTAGGATTTTAGATTAGTCTCATAAACCATAAACTCAAGAACCAGATCACTCTGATTCATGAAAACCATCACTGTATTTTGTGAACGAGTTAAAGTGAATCGGACATTCACATACTTTCCTCACAAACTGTCAAAAACATGAAAAGCTTGGCTGGATTTACAGTAATTAAATTTTAATCGGTTTGTAGTCCAAAACAATAAACGTATGTACAGTATAACTGTAATATCGCACTTGACTTGAATAGATCAAGCGTTTTGTACCTTCTTTTTGGTGTTATGGAAAAGCATGAAAAGCATGAGAGGAAAAGCCTTTCCGAATGTTCACTAAATTTGTGTGAACTGTTCCTTGCATATTCTGTCAAGCAAACTGAGTGTGTAATTATATGGAAATATCACAGGTATTTGACTAGTTTGAAGTATTAAACCTGCCCAATATAAATAGTTTGATTCAAGTAAAGAAACATACGTGGTATATTCCTGGCTTTGATCACAGGTGAATCTCTGTCATTATCATCGTCAAACTCCACAGCAACACCACCACACTGGGCCCCCTCTGTTCTGAGAGACATCCTGTGTGAACAGCATGACTGTATTAGAATCAGGTTAAAAGATTGTAAATGCATAAATTGTTCAAAATAAATACATAAAGAAAATGTGACATGGTTGTCATGAACTACAATGAGACTTGATGTATACAAACGTGTTTAAAAAACAAAAAAACAATTTTGAAAATAATAATAATAATTAAAAATAAAATTATTAAATAATTATTAAAAATAATGATAAACATCCTAAAATATATGCAATCATTAGTCAATAGTAAATAATGATTAGTTAATCATGTGTCACATTTTAAATATGTGTATAGTTTTCTATCACATCTAATAAGTACTATGTACATAGTACAATATTAAATATAAGTAATTAATTTAGCATAATCCATGGCCATGAATTCATTTTCAGTTATTATACACTACCGTTCAAAAGTTTGGGGTCAGTAAAATTTGTAATGTTTTTCGAAAGACGTCTCTTATGCTCACCATGGTTGCATTTATTTGATTAAAAATACTGTGAAAACAGTAATATTGAGAAATATTAATACAATTTAATATAACAGTTTTCAATTTTCAGTTTATTCCTGTGATGGTAAAGCTGAAATTTCAGCATCGTTACTCCAGTCTTCAGCGTCACATGATCCTTCAGAAATCATTCTAAAATGCTCATTTGTTGCTCAAGCAACATCTCTAATTATATACTAATTATTATTAATAACTTCATTTGAAACTTAATATTCTTGTGGGGACTGTGATACTTTTTCTTTTAGGATTCTTTGAGGAATAACGAAAGTGGGAAATTCAGAAGAACAGCTTTTATTTGAAATAGAAATTTTGTAACATTTTAAATGTCTTTACTGTCATTTTTGATCAATTTAACGCATCTTACTGACCTAAAACCTTTCAACAGTAGTGTGTTATTTAAAAAAAAAAAAAAGAGTAAAAATATATTATTGTATTACTAAAGTATACTGTGAGTTTTAATAGATCAGTATTCAAAATGCTTTTTGAACTTTTTTTTTCTTTACAATATATAATCACAATTTGAGTGAGAATTTGATTTGGAAAATGAACATGAATTTTGTGTGAAACTTGATGATCATGATTTGAAAATGAACCAGAGAGCATCTTGAGTTTCAACAGAACCAAGAACATCTGACTGTCACATGATCAAGATTACAAATTTGATTGTACAAAAACTCTACAAAATATGAAAGATTTCTTCACCATTTTACATCATAACATTTTTTTAGTTTTCAGTTTAAAATCAAAATTTGATTCCCAGGCTTTCAGTGTGACCTCAAGCCTTTAAGACCCCACCGTACACATAATATTAAAATACTAAAGCCAAAAAAGACAGGTAGAAAAAAAAATCACCTGATATTTGACTCCTCCTTTGAGTCCTCCTTGCTATGAGTGCTTGCTGTGTCTCAAGGTTGTGCTATCCATGTGTCCCAGGTAAGGATGCTTGCATGCAGGCCTGAATTCCAGCAGTCGTACTGTGAGGGGCTTGATAACATCATAGTGCATGAGGGCACCATTGTATGAAACTGCCAGAAAAGCAGAACGAGTCACAGGCTGACAAAGGCAGCCAGCATATTCCACAGCACGTGACAGCGAAGGGGGACAATGTCACCGTTCACCCCCCACACCACTAAAAAAGACCACCCTGTCACTCAAATCTCATACACGCACACACGCATATAGTAATAAAACACTCGACATACTCATTCAACACATCAACATTGATGTTTGCATTTAGATATGTTCATTTTTATTGCCATGGCCTGATATGATTACATATTTAAGCAATTAATAATCAGTCAAAACAGGTTTTATGGCCATCATTCGCAAAGTGCTGTTTAAACAATGATCATATTATGGACATCCGAACAATATCTGAACAAGATATTTGCATGCAGCACCTTGAACCCTTCAGATTAACTTGTATATAATAACCAGTGCTGTCAAACGATTAATCGCGATTAATCGCATCCACAAGTTTTTCTTTAAATAATATATGTGTGTATACTGTGTATATTTATTATGTATATATAAATACAAAAACATGCATGTATATATTTAAGAAAAATATGTTATGTTTATATATGAAATATATTTATATATAATATAAAATATAATAATATAAATGTAATAGTTTGACAGCACTAATAATAACATATAATGAATGCTGTTTATCTCAGCACACTTCAGATAACAAAACAATAAAATTGAAAAGTCCTACAAGTTTTGACCAACAAATTCTTCTGTAATTGTATTGTTGTTGTTTTTTATTTGTAAACATGTTATAGTCTACCACTTATTGTTAGACCAAAGAAGAACATAATTAATCTAAAATTACAGTGGATTTAGTGACCCAGATGTTTCATAAAAAGGGGGAACTTTTCACATTATTAAAAGGCTGCTACATGTTTATTATCTTGACCACCATGAATAGATGTGCTTTACTTACTATGTTGCTCAGAAAACATACGCGTATGGTGCTTAGAAAAACAAAATATCTAAAATGCACCACTTATAATTTACACATTTTGATGATGTTAACACTTTCCTGCTCTTTTTAATATAAATGCTGAGTCTGACAACACATTTTCATTATCCCTTTTTTTAAGAGGAAAGTCTTGTAAATGGATTAGTCTTTTATTGTTTATCTATTTATGTTTGCCTGGTGATAAATTTCACCAGGAAGCAATCTGTTAAAAATTGTTCTGTTTTTGCGTTTCAACTGGTTAAATATCACCTACTGATATGAGAACAGTTCCTCAGTGCTCTAAATACACGATATGCCTGATATTATAAGGGCTCTTAAAGGGGTCATATGATGCGATTTCAAGTTTTCCTTTGTCTTTGGAGTGTTACAAGTTGTTTGTGAATAGACCTCGTTGCACCGGGACACGGTAAGGGGCGTAACATTTCCATCACACGCTTGAGGTATTCGGCCAATCACAACGCACTGGATAGCTGGCCAATCACAGCACACCTCGCTTTTCAGACCGATGAGCTTTGTAAAAATCGACGCGTTTCAGAAAGGCGGGGCATAGAGGAGAAACAATAATGTACAGTATGTGGAAAATAATGTGTTTTTTGAACCTTAAACCACATAAACACATTTCATTACACCAAATACACAAAATAATGTTCTTTTTAGCAACATCATATGACCCCTTTAATACAACCTCAGGTGCTTTAATGGTGTCTCAGAGCCTGATGTTTGCAGGATTTAATTTAATATCAATAAAAAGAAATGTACAGTACTGTTCTAATGGCTGATTCCAAAAAGTATGAATAATAATCAGATTATGAGAAAATTATGCAATGAGACAAATATAATTTTTTTTATTACAGATAAATATTTATTGCACTTGCAAGAAACATGGCCATATATTCCTCTCAAAATCAATGGATTTTTTTTTTGGGGGGGGAGGTAAAAAAAGATGTTTGGGTCAAATCAAATGAGTCAAAAAAAGTTTCTCTATAATCAAAAATCAAAATTAGTTGGCATTATTTGTTAGAAAAAATAAATAAATGTATCTATAAATTTAAAAAATGTCTGCTATATGCAACTACCAAATATGGCACATAATTATCTTATTATTTTCCTTATCACACTAATTTTGCATATATTTTCAATTACATATTACTAATATAATGAGCACATTTTTTTTTTCAGCAGGCCCTAATTAATATCTTACTTTAACCATACACTTCTAGTAAACGTTGCTGTGTTATGGCAATTTGGAAAACAAAAGCTGGAACCACTATGACATATTGGACAAAATATTTTTAAGGGACAATGGCAAAAAAAACAACAAAAAAAAAAAAACAATATTCCATCAGTTCTGGAAAAGGCATTTTTCTAACCTATGAATGTATAAAACTACAGAACTTTGAATTGGATCTCATGTGTAGAACTTTTGGTCAGATTTCTGTGACTTTTTGTGACTTCAGCTCTTCATCCTGTATATGAACTTTATACGATACAGAATCAATTTCTTGAACTGGGGCACTGGGATGTTTCTTGCAGCAGTATTCTCGTATGGCTCTGAAAACAGCAGTGCCGGGTACAGACAAACTAGGGATCCCAGCCAGGAGAAAGATTATTACATAGATCCATGATGGATATGGCTTCTTCTCTAGGGTTGGAAAGTTTTCCTATATGAGAGCAAGATCATTTAATTAATTCCAAATGAATGCTCTACAAATTACAATTTTTTGTAACAAGAATCAGTTTATGTTAAATAATTGATTAAACATCACCGATTCAGGGTCCCAGGCGATGTAGAAGATTTCCTTGGTGACGATGGTAGAGAAGTAGAAGATGAAGATGGCTAACATGATGAGGGGACTAATGACTCTCCATGTGGCTTGCCAGAAAATGTTAGGCTTATGTCCAATCATGAATATCATGTCTTCATTGAACCTGTTCATAAACAGAAGATAACATAATTTATGGCTGATTTCAGTGAGCTTTATCTAAACAATAAAGTCATAAATGCATTTTCTAGTCACTGTGAAAACATCCATGAATTGCTGATACGTGGTTAAACTGTTCTAAGGGCAGTACTAAGATGTAACTCGTCTATGTCCTATAACCAATTCTAATCATCTTGTTTTGTAATAGTTGACCCAAAAATGAAAATCTGCAGAAAATTTATACTGAGCCCATCCAAAAATTATTTTTTTCATAAGAACAGATTTGGAAAAGTTTAGCATTACATCACTTGTTCACTAATGGACCCTCTGCAGTGAATGGGTGCTGTCAGAATAACATTTACAATTACATTTACATTTAGGCATTTAGCAGACACTTTTATCCAAAGCGACTTACAAATGAGGGCAACAGAAGCAATCAAAACCAACAAAAGAGCAATAATATGTAAGTGCTATGACAAGTCTCGGTTAGCCTAACACAGGCTTTTTTTTATATATATTAAATAAAAAGAAAACAAGTAGACTGAAAAAGAATAGAGAACATTAGTGTTTGAGGGTCTCTTTTTTTTTACAAAAAAGAAAAAAGAAAAGTCAAGAATAGAAAAAGAATTGAGAATACTATAGTGTTAGAGGCTCTATTTTTAAATAATAGAAAGCAAGTATTGTAAAAAGTGCAAGTGTTAAAGTGGTATTGTATGTGTGCAAGTGGTATTGTAAAGAGTGCGAGTAGAGAGAATAGAAATAGAATAGAGAGTGCTAGTATTAGAGGGTCAAGTAAAGATGGAACAGATGTGTTTTTAGCCGTTTCTTGAAGATGGCTTATATATAATATAAGAAGATGAATATATAATATGAATAAGAGTACAAACAGCTGCTAAAAACATCACAATAATCCACAAGTAATCCACATGACTCCAGTCCATCGATTAATGTCTTGTGAAGCCCCTATTATGATGCTTTTATCAGATATTTGGGCTCTCATTCTGACGGCACCCATTCACTGCAGAGGATCCATTGGTGAGCATGTCTCCAAATCTGTTTTGTTGAAGACAGTACTGTTTCTAGGCATAGGCAAGCTAGGCGGTCGCCTAGGGCGCCACCAGCAGGAGGGGGCACCAATGAGCGCATGTACTGGTGCTACATTTTAGCAGGGTTGTGATGAGTGGCACGGCCACCCTGAAATATGTAATATGAAATATATGATTGCCGCCCCCACTGGATCCCCCAACATAATTGGGCTACAGTACTGTCATTCTGACGATGCCTGTCTGCTAGTGGATCAGAGCGCTGTCAATTGCTGCCGGATTGTTGCATGCAAAGTTTGCATTGGAGCGCTCAGCAACATCATTAGATCAGTGGGTTCTGTCAGTGCTTTTTCAAGGTAAGGCTTTTTTTTTGCCATGCAATAAAGCCAAGTTCAAAGGCCAATTTAAAATATTGGTACAATAAAAAGTGCAAGAAATCAGTCCAAAATGTGTGCGTTTTTGTGCCAATGCATTGATAAAGGATCAGCGTGTTGTGTAATATTCCCAACAAACTTTAACAGCCAATTAAAAAATATTGGTGTAGTTAATAGAACCAGCGTCATACACATAGAGGGCAGGGTGTCACGTTTTTTATAGGGGAACAAGTAACAAAGGAACAAGTAGCTGCATTCTGATTACTTTTATGCCACTGATCAGGCTTTTATATGTAGTTTGAGGTAACAAAGGGTTTTATATTTGACTGAAATAATGCAATAACTGACAAAACAACTGAACAAAAAACAGATAAAGACAAAAAGTAGCCACTGATAATATCTAAACATGTATCCAAATCCAAATGGAATAAAATTAATTTATGTGTGATGACACATGCTAATAGGGATTTCGCCTAGGGCGTCAAAATGGCTAGAAACGTCTCTGGTTGAAGAAATAAATTCATCTACATCTTGGATGGCCTGAAGTGAGTAAATTTTCAGCAAATTTTCATTTTGGTGAACTATTCTTTTAAATACAATTTACCTGCTAAACTTAGGCTCAAA